GTAGAGCGCCCGCTGCCCGGGCACCGTGCCTGGCGGCGCCGAGCTGCCGCGCCTTCGGGGTACCAGAGCGCGGGCCGCACACGCCGTGAGAGCTGTCAGTGCGGAGCTGGCGGGCGTAGTCACCGTTCTGGTACTCCGAGATTGCTTTTAGTATTGCCTAAGTTACTCGTGGCAATCTCTTGCCCTTACTACCGTTTATTTCCTGGTACACGTCGTCCTGCTTCTTGCATATCCCTTATTAAAACTGGCAAAAATCATGTAGACTTACACAGTTTTAGACACAGCAGCTGTAGCCTGGGAGATGAGGTGATGACTTTACATGCTCTGTTCCGCTCATCCTCTGTAGAACTGATCTTCCACAGTTGTACGGTTTTACCTCTGTAACATGATAAAGAAGAAGTTTAGTTTCTACCTAGTGTCAGAAATAAAGTTTGTAAAATGGCCACCTTTTGTCAAAAGAGCAGGAATAAAACTCTGGGCATCTTGGATGCACCAAATCAAAGTGTCTTGAGCAGGACAGTAGACTTATTTAAAATGCTATGTGCTTCATTATTCGATTAGATTAGAGGTGGGTGGCTGTGTTGTGCAGAGTAGTATAACTAACATTTTGTAGGTATTGAACCCTGATTATATACATAAAACATGGAAAAATATTATTGAAGTTGCCCACTGGGACAGTAGCTGTTTATATCTTAATTTTCTAAGTACAAGTTGTGTGTAAGCTGTTAAATTCTCACTCTATAATATAATGACAGATATCCAGCTTCATTCCATCAGAGATTTAAAGGTTTTGCAGTGCATCAAATAGTCTTCGAAAAGTGGTTCTACTGACTTCAACCTTTTTGCCTGAAACAGAAAGAAGAAAACAAAAGCACAGTGTCAGTATCCACTGTCTTTCTACATTTATTATAAGGTATATCCGTGTAGGTGGATGCTGAGAGACGCTTGCTTGAAGCCTGTTGGATGTAAACACTCCTGTCTGGGAAACCATCTGGGGTTAGCAAGAGGACCAAGCTTACGGAACTAATGAGTCTTATTTCTGAGTGAGGTCTGGCTTGCAGCTGACTAAACATGAAGAGAGCTAGGTTGCATCTCTTTGTGCATGTCCATGTAGCCATGTCCTTTCTGTGTATGTTGGAATTTAGTGGTAGGAGGTTATTATTGTTGGGTGTTTTTTTCTTCTTTGTAGTTGTATTTTTTAAAATAATAGTTGTAAGATATTAAGATATCTGTAAGATATCTGCAGCTGCCAATTTGTTGTGTACATTCATATCTTCCCTTGAAAAGGGCAGCAAATAATTTTAGAGTTATTTCAGAGTTTATTAACTTTGAGCTTCTTAAGAGAGCATACTAATGATCCCATGGTCCAATTTCAAATCTTGGTTTTGCTGAAAATTCTCCCATGTCAGGAAAATAAGAGCTGCTTAATTCAGCTTACCTTGCACTACACTACATACCATGGGTTTGTAATGCATGTGTTACTCTTATTGCAGTTCCAAGAAACTATGACCCTGCGCTGCATCCATTTGAAGTTCCACGAGAGTACACAAGAGCTCTGAATGCAACAAAGCTAGAACGTGTGTTTGCAAAACCCTTTCTTAGCTCGCTTGATGGCCACAGAGATGGAGTTAATTGCATGGCCAAACATCCAAAGAGTTTGTCTACAGTGCTGTCTGGAGCTTGTGATGGAGAGGTAAGCTACAGTTACAAATCACAACAAACAAGGTACTACTTTTCTTTTTTCTTTCTCTCTCTCTTTTTAATGCCCCCCGCTTGCTTTTCTTTTGTGGTGTTGTTCAGTATGATACCCTATCTTCTCTGAGAAGGTCCACCTTACCCAATTTGGAGCAGTGTTTCTCAAACCGGAGGTTGTAATCTCCTAGCACACAAAGACAGTAGTGTTCAGCTGTGAGCAGAGGGTATAACATTCAGTTCCTCAGGATCGAGCAGTGAATGTTAATATTTACAGTTCATATTGATTGCTTTTTGCTGCCCATGCAACCCTTTTCCTCCCCTTGAAGTTAAATTGTTGCAGATTAAGAAATTTACATGAAGTCAGATGATCTAGGGGGAAGGGTCACACAAACAAAGTTTTTTGGATAATTTTATCATATTGCCTAAAAAATGCTAACCCAGTATTTTATTATTTTACATAAATATTATAACTAGCAAGCAAGGGCACTTTAATTGGAGTCAGTTGTAGAAGAAAATTTCCTCTCTTTTCTGTCTTCTCTGTCCTTTCTCACCCTTATATTGTTCATCTGATACTACTTGTGTATTTTAAAGGTGTCTTCTGGGTAGCTGGTTGCTTTCTGCTTTTTTATAGAAGATGCATATGTCATGCAGTAGTGTAAGGCAGATCAACCTTTTCGGAGAGAAGGAGAATACGTTTATATGAAATGTTGGTCAGATTTCTTATCCACTGATAGAGTGAGTAGAGTACTGGGTACTACTATAAATACCTACAAATTAAAAAATTACCCTAATTTCTTTTTTTTTTTTTTTTTAAATGGGCACAAATGCTTTGAAACCCAAACCTCTGTGCGAGGTCTAATTAAAATGAGGTACAACTGGACTGAAAGCATTCTGTTGGTTCCTGAGGCTATTTCCTTGTGGTTTTCTCTTTAGAGGGGTGTTTTTTTCTGAAATTATCACTGCTGCTGTCTTTTTAGCAAGATTGCTAGTTCAAAAATAACGGAATGTAAAAGTATAAGTAAGTATACAGCTTGAGTGTGGGGAAGGGATAAGAAGGAAGGAGCTGCACTTTTAATTTTTTTTTTTTTTTAAAGGAGGGAATAATTAAGTAGTATTAACATTGTCAAATCTGGGCAGTGTTCAAGCCAGGTATGCCACTTCATTAGGATGCTTGTGACCTCTTGAACTTGAATTAGGAATTGCAGTTGTGGGTTGCAGAAAACTTAAATAACACAGAATACTTTTCTGTTTTGAACAGGTTAAAATTTGGAACTTGACCAAACGACAGTGTGTTCGTACTATACAAGCCCATGAAGGCTTTGTTCGAGGCATGTGTGCTCGTTTCTGTGGTACATCATTCTTTACTGTAAGTGTAATGTCTCTTCTTAGTACAGTGTAGCAGTGCAGAGTGCCTGTTCACCATCTGTTTTCCAGTGAGCAACTTAATCTGTCATACAATGTATAAATATTTTATGAATACTTTTATTAAATTGTCAGTGAACTTGACAATTCTATTTTTAAATTTTTTTTTGATGCCATGATATGGATGTTATTCAAGACTGTGGAGGAGATAAATACCAGAAAATTGCTAATGGATGGTCATGTACTTAAAATATTAGTAAACTAGTTTTCATGAAAGTAGTAGATAGATTATGCTCATTGAAAGACATACACTTAAAACAGTAACCATTTGCATATAGTACAATTAAAGGTAAGCTGATTTATTCAACGTGGTTCCATGTTAATTAAGCATTTTTAACTTATAATAAACCACAACTGTTGGGAGAAGAAGTTAAGCTTGAATAGCTAATATTTTTTTGGGCTAGTTTGCCTGATCCAGGTCACTGCACAGCCATGCGAGCTCTGCAGGCATAGTGCAAGAGGTAGCGTGGCGTTAGGCAACTGGAGCGATTGAGGTGGAAAGTGCCTTTTAACTGTTTAAATGCTCATCAAAATGGTTTCCAGAAGGTAATTTGCAGTTTGAGGTGCCATTTGATTAATGTTCACAAAATGTAACCTAAAAATGTAGTCATTGTTCCAGCTCACCTTTTTCCTGTTCAACCCTGGAAATCTCTCTTTTGAAAACTGAAAAAGATTGTCATGGATTGACATAAAGACAGTTGAATAGGTGAAGGAGAGCTGGTGGTGGAAACAGTGACAAACAGAAAATCAGTTTGCCTCCTTTCACAAGCAGATGGGTCCCCAGACAGTCTCTGAGCAGCAGCCGCTCTGGAAGCCAGCCCCTGCCTCCCCTTTCTTCTTCCACTACCGCAGTTTTTATTGCTGAGCATGATGTTCTATGGTATGGAATACTCCTTTGGCTAGTTCAGATCACCTGCCGTGCCTATGTGCCCTCCCAGTCTCTTGCCCACAGCTCATGTATTTGCTGATAGGGGAGGCAGGGATGGTAACTGACAGGGGTGGGGGGAATGCCTTGACACTGTGCAAGCACTGTTCACAATAGCTGAACATTGCTGCCTTACCAGCACTCTGTCGGCTGCAAATCCAAAACAGTGTGGTATGGGCTATGATGAAGAAAGTTAACTCCATTCAAGCCAGATGATACACATGTACCTTCTCAGTTTCTAGTGAAATATGGCAAGGAGAACTAATCTTCAGCTTGGAGATATGAAGGGTAACAGTGACTAGGCAAGAAAGAGCACTTCTGTGTATGTCATAGATCATTCTCTTTTGGAAGGCTGCCTGTACTCAATTGCAAAGCACATTTAGTAAAATAAACAGAATATATTAGTGTAAAACTGCGGATGCTTTCTCCAAAATTCCCAGGTTGGCGATGACAAAACTGTGAAACAGTGGAAAATGGAGAGCCCAGAATATGGAGAAGAAGAAGAACCTATTCATACAATTCTTGGCAAGGTAGTAAATCTGTTTTGATTTTCCCACATCTCTTTTAAATTAAGTTTGAACCAATTCTTATCTGCCTTTTGGAGGACAGAGCAATAGTTTGATATCACCTGTTAATCATAATGAGTTGTATGATGATGGGCATCAAATTTTATAAAGGCACTTTTAAATATCTTCAAATTTTCATTACATTTATTTTACATGTAACCAGGAAGGAATATCTCAAATGCTAGCAGAAACTGCTGAGGATCTGTCTCTGCTAATCATTCCTTTCCTGCAAACTGATCAGATCTTTCCCTAATCTCTTTCTCTTCAGACCTGTGTTGTCAGTGCTTAGTATTGTATTAAATAACTTTATTTTCCTGCCAATACCTTGGAGCCATTCAATACAACATTTTTTTACGTTCTTTTTTTTGACAAAAGCAGACTAAAAATCATTTCAGCACTTTCAGTTTGCGATGAGAACATCATTAAGTGCTTTTTGTAAATAGATAGTTTGAAACTCTTCAATTATTGTAATGTGTATGGAATCCGTTCAGGTCTCCAGTGAAGATTTGTAGTTGTACTCTTAAAATTCCCATTTGCTTTAAAGTCAATCAGGACTTTGTAAATGGGCTTCTAATGCACACTCCACTGTAAATTACAAGAAATGCATGCATGCACACACATTAAATGAGTACACAGAAAGCTTGTCTGGGTAAGGGTATGTCTGATAAGACTTGGTTTCTGGTAGCAGTGGTGACTTGGTTTTCAGTAATAATATAAATGAATAAAAACATGGCAGACTTGATATGCAATGATTTGTTGATGTTGTTGGTAACAGAACTTACTTTCATATTTATGTATACAATTGGTTTTGTAAATTGTTTTGGTGGTTTTCTGTTTTTTCTTTTAAAGACAGTGTATACAGGAATTGATCACCACTGGAAGGAAGCTGTTTTTGCCACCTGTGGCCATCAAGTGGACATTTGGGATGAGCAAAGGACAAGTCCCATGTGTTCTCTGACCTGGGGTTTTGACAGCATAAGCAGCGTAAAATTTAATCCCATTGAGGTAATATTTCTGTTACATATTGTAAAGAATTGTTTCTCTTGATTAGTGTAAGATTTAAACTCTTAACACCATCTCTAATGTCTTTTTCCAAATTTAGATTTTAATATGTATACTATAATAATATTTAGGGGGAGTACTATATATTTTCATCTTTTTATCTTTTGTCTCTAATAGTTGGGGAGAGGAGGAGGAAAAGTAGGGTGGTCTCTGTTCTGCCCACAGCAATACATATCTCGTATATCAAGCAGAAAATGTAGTGGTTATGTGGCTGTGGAGCTCTCATCTGTTCTGGTACTGTTCTCCCTGTGACCAAGACTTGACCGCCTTCTCCGTGGCAAAACAGTTGCATTTGATCTTCTACAGCAGTTCCTGTATACCTATTGGCTGGGCTGCATTTGTAGATGAAGGGTTCATGAGGAATTGCTTGTTACTGGTGAGGTAGAGAGGGCTGGGTGAATTCTGAATCTTAAAGGAAAAACTATTTAAAATGCTTGTGCTGAATAATTAGCTGCACAGAAAGAACGATGCATGTATTTCCTTGACTGAAAAAGAAACCAGCTTTGTGAAATAGCTTAGGTATCTAAGGTCAGGTGTTAACCATGATCTAGAAGTGTTCAGAAGATGATACACACTCTTCATTTTCTTTTCATTTTTTTTTTCTTTTTTATTTTTTTTTTTTTCCTAGACATACCTTTTGGGAAGCTGTGCTTCTGACAGAAATATTGTGCTATATGATATGAGAAAATCAACTCCATTAAAGAAGGTAATCTTTTTAACAAGCTTATGGCACTGACAATCATATTGAATAGTAATTACTCTGTAACCATTGATGACGATAAAGCGAGGCTCTGAACCATGAGTTCACTGAGTTTTCATTGTCTTAATTTTGAGTCTTTTAACTAAATTTGAATTAATGTTAGGATTTAAACCATGCAGAGTTAGAAGGACCCTTTTCTGCATTCAAGCAGGCTGTCATGCTCACTCTGTTGTAATTCTTGATATAATGCCTGATCCGAGAGCAATTTCACAATCAGAACTTTATGTTCCTCTATTGCATTGTCTGTGATTTCCGCCCCCCCCCTCCCTTTGCCAGAAGGAAATAAGGTAACTTACAAGGCATTTCCTTACCATCCTTGTAAAGCCTTGCCCTGCATTTGAAAAGGTGTTTTTCTTTTGCATGGAGATAAACCCTCCCCTGTGCACCAAGTATAAACTTTCAGAAATCCTTTTCAGTGGAATCAAAGCTGTATTTATATGTGGAATTTACCAATGACATGAAGATTCCTATTTATCTTTTAGAGAATGTATGTATTTATTTAAAACAAGAAGCCAGGAATTTATACATACATATTAACCTCAACCAAGTTCAGTAGTTTTGAGCCCCAGAACTATTTAACAATTTTCTTCTTGAAATGCAGTATTCTGGCTTGTATGAGTATCCTTCTGGTATGTTATGTACTTTCTGCACTGGCCTGAGACACTAAAACACTATAATGATACTTATTAAAAAATAGAAATGTTGTTGACGTAACAGTATTTCTTTCTCTCCCTGTGCCCCAACAATTTTTAATGGAGTTTCATTTAGGCCACTGAGATGAAGCTTATAAAAAATTCAGTGATGTGGGTTGGAGACCTGAATGTCGAAATGAACACAGCCAGTGCTGTAGATGTGCAGTTATAAGTTAACAGGATGTATTTTGAGCCTTTGTGAACTGAGTTCGAATCTAGCCGTTTTACAGATGTAGACATGCCAAATATATAAAAGTACACATATATGTGCATATATACATGAGTGCTCATATGTCTCACACAATAGTCTAGGTTGGAAAAGACCTTGAAGATCATCCAGTCCAACCACTAACCTAACACTGACAGTTCCCAACTACACCAGATCCCTCAGCGCTATGTCAACCCGACTCTTAAACACCTCCAGGGATGGGGACTCCACCACCTCCCTGGACAGCCCATTCCAACACGTAACAACCTGTTCTGGAAAGAAATGCTTTAATTCTAAATGCCACTGCTGAAATAAACTGAATGCTTGTAAATTTGGGTGCAAAAATAGTGAAGCAAGATGCAGAACATGGAGTTTGACCAAACCTGACCCCTTTTGAAAGAGCTGGATTTTTTAGAGTAGTTATTATTTTGTGGCATGATTTAAAATATACATATAGTGTGTTAAGGTTAATTGTGGACTCATTTTGTAGTGGCTGAAAAACTTGGACAGGGAAGAATAAAGTTCCCTAGTTGATTACTAGCTGCTCAGATATGTGCAAGGCTTATAACTAGAAGAAAAGTACTGAAATCTGAACAAATTCTAGTTGTGTCATTACTGTCTACATAAGGGCCTTTCAGTGGCCTATTCCTTTCAGTTAAGTCCTTTTATAGTAGAGATCACTTTAGACATCTGATGATTACATTCAGTTCTGGATGCATGTAATTTCTAAAAATATGCAGTATTTTTTGCACTGCAAACTTTGCATTGAACAGATTAATGTCACCTAGAAAATGAGCACTTACGGAGAATGAGAATCATGAGGATATGCACACATATTAAATCACAATCTCTTGGGGGGGAGGTTCAGTAGAGGTCTTCACTGCTTTGATATTGTGTTTGTTATTGTAAAAGTTATTGTACAGCTATATTTTGTCACATTATGTAAATTTATGGTGTTTATAAGAAGTTGAGAACAAAAATTACTTTGGAGTACCATAGTGTTAAACACCTGAATTGCAGGATTTTTCAAGTAGGATTATGGCTGGCCTGGAGCATGGTGGAAAATCCTGTTTAGGGTTGTTCAGTTTGTTAATAAGTTGCTCTGTAATTACACATCTACTTTGAGTCAGGTGTGCTGTATGGGATTTATTTTTAAATACAATGGTTGAAAGCTCCTCCAAGACTCAGCAGAAGTTAAAACTGTTGTGTTGTACAGGGTGTCAGATGACCTCCTCCCTGCCTCCCCTTCTCCCACAGGACAGACTCAGCTGTCCTCCAGGGTGGGGGCATCTGACATACAGCTTAATGCCTCTTGTCTTATTAGGCTGTCATCAGCTGCCTTCCTTCCACTTCAAGGCAAACTGGCCTCTTTGTAGCAATATGCTTACTAGCAGCAAGCAGATCTTATGAATGCATAGCCAATGATTCACTGCTAATACAGTGATAGTGATGAGTAGGTTACAACACAGTAACTTCTACATAAGTTGCTTGGTGCTTCAACAAGAAATGGCAACTGTTCTGGAGAATTAATGAACTACAATTTCAGAGATAAAATTATGAAGGGATAGTAATAACTGGAAGAACATCAAAAAGTTTTAATCATTTTGCTTATGCTGGTTCACAGCATCAGTTAATGACTATATCTCTTGAAATAATCATTTAATTAGGAGTGTTTATAGATTACTTAACTCAAGATTCCTGTAAATATGGTGGAGAAGTGATATTTTTCAGAAATTCCAGTCTTACATGTTGACCACTAACATGTTTACATGTTAAAGGACCACTTAGAAGAAGTTGCTTCTAGGATGACTTGGAGGAATATTTAGTTGCCGTGTAGCACAAAGCAGTGAGCATATGATGAGGCACAGGAAGTTCTTGAGTTCCAGTTCTATCTTGAGTTCCAGTTCTAACACTGCTGAGGAAACATTTCATGATGATGCTATTCCTCTGCCATAATTCTGCATCTAGAAAGTGCTTGTCTCCAGTGGTATAGGAAGTTTTGAACTATAGCAACTAATTTACTGCCTGTAACAAGGTAGCAATGTGTAAATATCTTTCAGGTTATCTTGAACATGAGGACAAATACACTGTGTTGGAACCCCATGGAAGCTTTTGTTTTTACTGCAGCAAATGAAGATTACAAGTAAGTGTGACCTTGCTTTTTGATAATCCTGATCATGTTATGTTTTTAATCTCTGTCTTGGTGATAAATTGTCATGCTAAAAGAAATTTTTGAAAAACTACGGAAACTCTAAATTTGAATTGCTTAAGTAATAACCTAGCGAATTATAAACTTGCTGATTTTAAAAAAAAATTAATGACTGCCTTTTTCTCTGTATTTCAATACCTGGGTGTGGGGAGAGCAGTGTAACTTATAAGTGTACCTTGCAATGGGACCTGGAAAATAACTGCTGTTGGTCCAGTCTGAGGCAATATAAGCGTTTATTTTCTTGCCAGCTCTTGTGAAGCTTGATATATTGTACTGATCAGCTATTTTGATGAGAACATTTCTTAAAATATAAATTAATCTTTTGTGAAACAGTTCCAGAGACTGCAATACTTATCCTTTCAATGTCTCAGAGCAGTTTTTTACTTTTGGACAATACTACTCATGTGAACAGCTAATCTGATATTGAAAAAGCTGTCTCTTCAAAACTAGGCCACTGCAAAATGTCCTCCATATCCTTTTTTCCAGGAAATCAGTGATCTAACAATAGATCACTGTTTTCTTCTAGAACATAAAAATTTTATCATTTATCTTAAGGCTGTTTTTCCAAGGAAATGGAATCTGGCCCAGACCTTGAAAGTGGGTGTTGTATCAAATGTGCAGCTTTTCACCTATTTTGGTTATGGTATGGTAAGGCTACCAGACTACCTAATCTGTTTGGTTATATATCTCTTTCCCCCTCCTAGCTAAACTAAAAATGGTAGCTGCTAGTGTCAGGGGCAACTGTCCTCTTGCAAACTGAAGCAATTAGTATAAGCGCAGTGGCAAATGCATATATCAGCAATGATACGCAGGTATTAGCTGGTTATATGTAGTAGCAGTTTTGAATATGATGCTACCATACTTTTTCTTGGGGAATTTAAAAAGAAAAAGCAATGGTTGCCAGTAAACTATTGAAGAGGAGACATTAAATTAATTCTAGTTATGCATTCATCTGCAGAAAGAAGGGTGAGAAACCTGCTAAATTACACATTTTTAATATAGTAGTTCTATTAAATAGTGTATCTTAAGGAGGCTTCATTAAATGCTATGTCTGTAAAGCCTCTTTGCTTATTGGCACCAGGCAGATTAATGATCGGTTATTACACCTTACTATTTATTAATGGGCTTGTTGATTCAAAGGGAGTACAGGTAGACCTCACCTGAGCTTTGAAGTGCTTAAGAGCAAACCAGCTGTGGTCCAGCAGCTCTGTGTTTGGTGTAATAATACTTTTCTGCAGATAGTGTATGCTGCTGAACTAGTATGTCCAAGCTTTCCTTGGATTCTTACATTGGCCTAAAGACAATTAGGTAGTGGGAAAGGGTGCCAACCAAATGGCAACTTCGCAGTAACTCTGAATTACTAGGAGTTTCCAGCATGGGAGTATCTGGAAACCTTGCAGAGTTGATAGGCTTTCTGTAATGACTCAAGAGATGCTTGTCCAAGTTAAGACTATATAATTCATTCTGAAGATGGAGTAAAGGAGGAAGGACACTGGTTGGAGAAATAGGTTTGGTCAGTGACCCATGAACAGATGATGAAGGGAATAGTGGAGACTATCTGTTCTTTGACAGTGAGAAAGAAACCTAGGTCTGATCCAATAACTAAAACCTCTGGTTAATAAACTTTTCAAGCCCTAAACAGTGCATCGTTCTTTCCTTTCATGTGTTATGAGCAGTTCTAAAGAGTTCCCTCTGTAATATGGATCTGTCTTTAAGTGTGGTTGTGAATGATTAAAGTGGCTGGTGAGCAAAAATGTACTATTTACTTAGTAGCTGCTAAGATACTAAGATATTGGTGTATTTATTTTAAAGCTTATATTCTTTTGATATGCGCTTTCTTGAATCACCTATGATGGTGCATATGGATCATGTGTCTGCTGTTCTTGATGTGGATTATTCACCCACTGGGAAAGAATTTGTCTCTGCCAGCTTTGATAAGTCTATCCGTATTTTTCCTGTAGACAAAGGTCACAGCAGGTGAGTGATTTTTACATCCATCTTTCTTTCTGTCATTCATTCCAGTGACCACCCTCCCTAGTCCTCAGAATTCTTAGTTGATTCATTAACATCTTTATTGGGGTAGTAACTTCCTGTGAATATTGGAATCTTACTCTGTATGTAACTTGAGATATCTTGATTGGCAGGTCATGTGATTGACAGATAGTTCAGGAGTATGTATTAGAGTAGAACTTAGACTTAATGGATAGCAGTATTCATGCAGTTTTGGATTAAAATTACAGTGGATTATTGGTTTTGGGTGTACTCATTTGTATTTTACCAAGATGAATCCTCTTATTTTCCTCTTTATTTATGTTTAATGTTTTAGGTCACTTTATACTGTACTTTTCACCACTTAAGTTTGTAGTGCCTTACAACATTGTAGCATTTGGTTTTCTAGGGACTGACTTCATCCTATATGGATGATTGCTAAAGATGTTATGTAAAAAGCACTGTTGCATGGATTCATGAGGATCATTTTGGGACACTTCTGTGATCTGTTTCAGTATGTTACTACCTTTTGTTCATACTTTGTTAACGAGGTTTTGATTCATGTGATGCTGCTTTGAATACAGTTCACTTGGAATTAGTTTTTTATGTAAGATTTCATAAGGCAGTGTATTAAATATTTGCTTGAAGTTCAGATTGGATCTAGTGTGTCTCCATTCTTGTTTTTTTTTTTCCCAGTTTGATGAAAATTGAAGCAAGTTATCAGATCTGTCTGCTATCATTTGTTCTTCATAAAACTACCTCATTATTCTCTGTTGTCAGTTCCTCCTCTTTTTTATTATTAACTGTATTTTGTTTCTAGTTCATTCCTCTCTCCAACCTCGGTCCCCCAAAAAGTTGCTACTAGGTCAAGTTTTAGATGGTTTGTGGAGTGGAAATGTTGAAATACTGATTGGGAAGGAGTATATTTTTATTACTGATTGATGCAGTTATGTATGCATTATTCAGTGTAACTGTATGCTCCTGTAGTGCATTAAAGATTGAGAGGGGCTGTTTACATTTTCCTTTAATCTAAAGGTTTCCTTCTGTTTTGCAATGTTTTAGATGTAATTAGGTATTGCAGTTCCTTTGTGGGTTTGTTTATTTTTTTTTAAATTCTTGTATTAAACAATATGGTTAGCAGCTCCTGTGATATTCAGATTTTCCTTTCTGTGGAACAGTAGTGTTCACAAACAGTGGTGATACGCAAAGTTAAAGCACATCGAGGGGAAGTTTGCAGACTCCATAATGCAACAGTAAAAGGCTTTATTCCACATTATAGCAGATTGTTGCCAAGGCCTGTGGAAGGAGTTTTCTTCTTCTACCCCCTTTTCCCCCCACCCTCTCTGTGGTGGCCATAAATCTGGTGAGGAAAAGCCATATAAATGGAGAGCTTAGCCTCATATAAGTTGACTAGGGAATTTCAGGACACTTAAAATTCTTTAGAAGCTGGGCTTTTTCAGAATTGCAGAGTTGAAATTAATCCCATGGAATGGAGAAAAATCTCCAATTGGAAGATCTGATCCCATTTGGAAAACCAAGAGGGCGCTTAGGAGTATCTGTAAACAAGGATCTTGATGGTGTTCCAGTTTTGACTTTTGATCTCCTGACAATTTGAAAAACTCCTAACTTGCATTGCTTTCCATTTTATTTTAAAGTGAACATTTATGTTAGGAAATTGATTTAGCCATAAGAAGTAAAATCTATTATGAAGTTGATTTTAAATTAGTAAATTCTGGATAAACAGAACTGGATGTCTGTGCAAATTTTTTAAATGACAGATTCAAGTTATTTGGCCATGTTTTGTGTTTTTCATTTCCCTGAAAATGATATTTAATAACTTGTGATGACAGAAACAGGAGAGGCTGAAAATTCAGAATAAGGAAAGGAAAAGTACTTAGTTCCTCAAAGGTGAGTGAGGAAAAGCTTTGCTATTGTGAAAAAAAAACTTTTATTGAGCCAAAGAGTAGAATGAAAGTAAACATTAGCATGTGTGCACATACACGTTTTCAAAAGCATTTCTATTAAACATCAGTAAAAAGCTGATGTATTAATGTATTTTGAAGGTACTCGTGCTCAGTCTTCCGCATTATTGTTCTTGTAGATCGTCACTTGAGTGTGAATTACAAGAGGTGGTTAAGCTTATTAAAGCTTATTTAAGCTGATCTATTGATTACTTTTTTTTTCCTCACAGCCCCTCCAGCTCAGTCTAGTTTTTCCATGGCTCTTGAATAGGTGGTGTTTGCATATTTCCTTTCCATTACTACCTGGATTTTACTTGTAAAGAATCTGGGTGGAAGAAAGAGATTGGTCTATAAGGTGCTGCATGTGACTGATATACCAAAGGAGTGGGTATTAGTGGACAATAAGCAGGCCTTATTATTCTTCACCTTTAGAATACTAATAAATAATTAAAATTACCAGAAGAATGTACTTAGTCCTATATATTTTTAGGAGAAATAAAATAATAACCTTATGAATAGTATTATTCTGCTTGGTTGGCGCTTTTTAAATAAAGTTACATTTAAATATTGGTTTAGATGTAACATGTAGAAACATTTTTCAACAGGTGCCAGCACTTGTTGAGCAGAAGTCTGACTGGCAGAAGTTAAATGTAGTTTATGCTTTAATAGCTGTACAACTGTTCAGAATCCTTTTTTACTAGCTGATATTTCTTGTTTAGTTCTTAATTGCAGGACTGGAGACTTTTTTTTTAATTTTTAAGGTTTTAAAATTTTTCCTTGGAGTCCTTAGACAATACTAAGGAAGTCCTTTTTTGGGGAAAGGAGGGATATCACAATGAAGAGTAGCCAGTGCATTGCTATGTTATAAATGGACAGCTGGAGGTGTTTATTTACTGTTCTCTTTTTTGTTCATAATGGTGGTGTCACATTCTTCGGTACCCATTCTTCTGCACTCCCATTGTGTAATGCTTGATAGGTGTGACAGCATATTAATGAAAATTATTCTGGAAACTGTGCATATAATTTTATACCCATGGTGTGTTTTGCAAATATTAAGCTGTTTATTGTAATTTTTATAAAAGCACTTATTTAAAAAGCATTTTATTCTAGATGGTCCTTTATCAGGCTTATCATCACATCTTATTTGAATCTCTCTAGATAAAAGACCAACAGTGTTTAAAAAAAAAAGTAATTTTTTTTCCAAAATGACAACAAAATTAAAAAAAATGTTGCCCTGAACAGAATGCTTTCTGCTATTTATAAGATAATGTTGATGAGAGAAGTTGATAGATCATTTAAAAATGTTTCTGTTTGCTTTAGGGAGGTATATCATACAAAACGAATGCAGCACGTCATCACTGTAAAATGGACTTCAGATAACAAATATATTCTGTGTGGCTCAGATGAGATGAACATTCGTTTGTGGAAAGCTAATGCTTCTGAAAAACTAGGAGTGGTAAGAGTTGCATTTTGCTTTTGATTATCGTAAGATGTTTGGAGGCTTTTTTTACAAATGGTTAGCCTATTCAACTTCTAAAAACTTGTTTCTACAGGAAAAGTAGAATTGTAGTTTGACATTTGTATTTAATTGAAAATCGACATGTGCAGTATAGCTCATAGCATTTACTGCAGCTTATAATAAAACTACAGGCCTCGTTATTGCTACAGAAGGTAAGGTTTTTGGTCTTGTTTAGTTAGCAATAATCATCAATTCTAACTAAGCTAAATTAGAGTTTGTTTGCCTGGATGCCACAAGTAAGAATTCATCCCTCTGCACTAGAGAAAAAGCAATAAATTCTGCTTTGCCATACACAAGTAATTCTACTGAAGCTTAAGGCTACTACTTTTAAAAATTTTGCCTGGTGTGTGACTGATTCATGTGCAGTTCATACTGGGATAAGCATATGCATTGTAAAATAGTCCATTTGCACTAATGCATAATGAGATTGTCATTAACCTATATCAAATGGGCGAACTAGTGTAGTGTCTGAAATCCATTTAATTCAATGTAAGTCAGTTTGGTTGAAGTGTTCCTAGCAGGAACAGATATCATTCTAATTAGATATGTGGCTTTTCAGTTAAACTTGTTCAAATGTTTGTGTATTGACAAAGCCAAAATGTTCTATTACAGTTACCACCTGCATATATTCATCTGCACAGTTGTATTAAAGTATTGAATAATTTTGGAGAATGAATTTGACACTCTCTCCACTGGGAGTAATGCCTTTAACATAGCTTTATATTGTTATGGTATTTTGGAGGTGCTTATGTTGCTTTTTCTGAGTCCATCAGCATAGCTGTCAAATAATGCTTGGTGAAATTTCTCCTTGATACTGAGGGGGGAGGAACGGGAAGCTGTAATTCAAGGAAGTATATTGTACAGTTTAGGGCTGCTTGTGGTTATGTGAAGCTCCATGAAGTTATAGTATCTGTGTAGGAGGGAAGTGGAGTGAAGCTGGGAGAGGCGGCAGGTGAATGGGAGTGGTAAGAGTATTTAGGGCTGTAAAGCAGAATGGGGTAATTTATGGACTTGTGCACTGTGAAGCACTGGATATGGTGTAGCGCAGCTAAAACAATGTGTGTCTTTAACCATGGACCACCATAGGTATCTGGAAGTCCTATTATTTTTCTCATATTGCCATAGATTAGAAAAAAAACCCGCACAATTTTGTAGCCATACAGTATTTGTCGTTACAAACGACTATTTTAGTTGATTGTCTTTAATGGAATAACTTTTTTTCCAGTTTTGAATTGATTCTTTGGATTTTTCCCATATAGTGCTTCAGTCAAACACTTAAATAATCAGTCCCATACTTGTTAATTCCGAGTAGTCCGCAAAGTTCCTTATACACTCTTTGATTTAACTTTTATTTTGAATTTGCTTAGACAATGCAGTGTTGGGGGCAGAAATATTACCTGTTTTCCTGTTGTCATATCCATATGCCCCTGGTAATGCCCTGTTCACCTTGTTTTACAGTGTTAACTGAAATTTCTCTCTTTAATCACTATATTTTTAGTGAGAGAGCGTGCTGTCTCTCTCCAAGATACTGTTCTACAACAGAATAGTCTGGTATTTTTGACACGCATCTTTGCCCTTTGTGTGAAGGACCAGTAGGTAAAAAGAATGTCAAAAATACCATTTTTGTACAGAATCGTTCCTAATATTTTCAGGTGTGATTACTAGATGGCATTGGCTCCTTTTCTTATGAAAGAGTAAGGATACTTGGCTCTGGAAACTAATAGGCAAACCTAATTATTCCTGCATCGCAGAAATACTGCATGCCAAATGGACAACTTAGCTCTTGTTTAAGTATTCAAAATATAGAGTGGTAAATCACATTCTGCTGTTTTCTGTAGTATATGCATCAGTGAAAATTGTCCATTGATGGGCCTAAAAAAGGCACTACCTATTATGACTATCAGACATTGGCTGTGGTCTGAACATTAATACTCTGGTGTTTCTTGACCTGACAGTAAATCTTACATGAAATAGCCTGTCTTTTTTTTTTTTCTAAGTACAGCGTTGCTGCTTGACATGCCTCTTGGAGGCTGTGTGCACAATGCAGTTCTGCTGTTGCAGGTTCATGCAAATAGAGCTTTTACAGCATGCATGCGTGTTAGGATTTGTAAGCACTTCTGTCAAAGCTCTTTGGCATTCAGCTCCCAAGAAAACTTAAGTCAATAGCTATCTGTAACACAGAGATCAAGTGGCATGTGTGTTTTTAGTTTGTTTTTTTTTTTGTTTTTTTTTTTTACTATCAGAAATGAAAGTGATCATTTAGAATACAGAACTTGTCATCCTATCTTAAAAAAACACACCTTGCCAACATCAAAAGACATCTTAGGAAAGCAGAATTATTTAGAAACACAGGAAAAACTTAAAGGGGACATAGTAAATTCTGTAGAAAAACTGATCTCATTTAACTTGGATGCCACTAATGAACTTGTAAAGAATTATAAAGGAAGAGATAATGTTTCACATCCCCATATCCTATGTGGAAAAGTGTTCAAGTATGATGCTGTTGAAGCCTTGAATTTAGGAAGATACAGAGTTTGGCTATTAAATTAGTAACTGTCTGAAGCTGCTATATTTGTTGTTAAATTTCTTTTAGAAGTACTGTGAAATTTTATTTTTCAGATGTTTAGAGAGTAATTGCTGCTAATAGGATCTAAGGGTGGAACCTTTCTGACTTACCATGTTCTTGGATATACCCTGGAAATGTTTCTTGGATTCAGGCAACTGTGCCAAACCTTGTTTGATCCAACCTGGTAGTTCCTGTGGTTATTAACTTTGCAACTGTTAATGCTTATTTATTAGGTTCCACTGTTTTTCTTTAGTACCTGTTCCTTTTTTAGAGAATTGGTGTTCTTATCTTCATAGACATATGCTTGCTCATTTCATAAATGTCCAGTTCTTCCATAGTCTGTGGCTATTTTTTGAACATTTTGAATATTCAAAGATGAACATTCAGTAATTTTGTCAGAAGTGTCAGAGTATGTCTTAAATGCTTAGTTGCTTGGTCTGCTATTTTTCTTTGCTGAGAAGATTTGATTGAATGACTCATCCAAAGGTCACTGTATTTCTGATATAAAGCTAACATCTTGTAAAACATTGTATTTTAAGATGGATATTTTTGGGGTGGGGGAGGATGGAAACCAGCACCCTTGAAGAAAAAGTAAAATAGTAATCAAACTTTTTTTTTTAAGAGTACTTGGTCTTACTTGTTTCTAGAGTTGGATTCCAGGGAGATTATAGTGAATATATAAGTACTTATGTTGTGACTGATGAATGTTTTTCCAGTTGGGAGGAGGTTGTACTTTCTGACCCATGGCTACCCTAGCAGTCATCAGTTCTGTATGTTTCTTTTAGTTTTAGATGTATTTGGCATCTTACTCATTATTCAAAAACTAGTAAAACATTAAAGTAAGAATAAAAGTTTCTGGAGGAGCCAGAGGCATGCTGTGTGTTCACTGACAATTACATCTGCATGGATTTTACATAGGGTTAACAGAACCCAAATCTCTCTGTTGGAGCTATGTCAAAAGTTACTTTAAAATAATTTGCAATGTTTAGGTTTTTTAATGAAAGTTGATTAAATAAATAATTATTATTAAATAGGAAAGGTAACCGGTGTTATTTTTAAAGCAGTAAACATCTAGCTCTGCATGTCCAGAAGCAAATGAGGCAATTAAAGAAGACATTCAAGATACTCCAGACTGTTCAAATACTGTACATAAAATATGATGTTAAATATGTTTGAGGCTTTTGTACTTGTATTCTTTGAGAGGTTTGGGATCTCTGAAAAGGTACATGACTTTGGCTTTTAAGGAAAATAGAGCCTCGTTTGTATGAAAAGGGCTGGAAGAGCAGCAGTAGTAGAGGAGTAGATTTCAGTTAATAGAGAAGAATTAATCTATGCAATACAAAGAAAGGGATAGATTGGGTTTTTTGAATTGTAGTGAAAGCAATGAATGATCAGTAAAACTTCAAAAAGCTGTATTGTTCAACATATTGACACATTGTAAAAAAAAAATCTACAGCTGCAGTTCTTGGAGTATAAATGCTTCGTAATAGTGCTTCTGTCAGCTGCAAAATTTGGCTCTTACATTTTCAAAGTATTCAGGAATTAGAACAGAGTACGGGACAATAGAAGAAGAAAACTTCCTGCTTGGGAATGATTTGTATTTCAGTAAGTGTAAAACTAGTGTGAGGAGTGATTTAACAGTAGTGGAGCATAGGTTTGCTGCTTTCTTAAAGATGCAGAAATAACAGCTTTTGAGTAAGAACTGAAAAAGATAGGAGAAAGTGTGATTGCAAGTCTTGGTTTTGATCTGTCCGTGTGCATCAGCAGGAGTCATCAAAACTGCCTTAAGTAATTGTATATCCTTTCAGTCTGTTTCTAGTATACAGTTTCATTTTGTGAGATAAGACTGATAAGAAGGAGTACCAGATACTGTGTGACACGGCATTTTTTCATAGTGATTTTGAGTTTGTGATTAATGCACATGTAACTTCATCCCTTTAGCTGTGATTTTGTGCTCTTAACATCTACATTACCTTTCTTTTTTTGTCATCCATTTAGATGTAAGGGAGCCATAAGTTTTTGGTCAAAGGAAACAATGAGTAATAAACTTTCTGGCAATAAATTTAGAAAGGTGTTTTCAGCAGAGCAATGGGAAAAAAAATAAAGACAAGGTATGGTGTAGAAAACTGCTGGGATACACTTGCATTCTAAAAATATGTTGCATCTGTGCTCTGTCTGCCCTAACCTGGAAGGGCAACCTGGACAGCATAGATAAACAGCCATTTTATATTCTTATGCTGAATTACAGGTGTCTAGTAGTGTGGAGTTTTAAATACTGCACAGTACAAATACAGTCCTCTAAAAGGAGAATTTTTTGTTAAAGGTGGTTTTAGGTTTTCAGCCAGGGTTCTGGAAAAATGCTTACCACCTTCTGCTTAGAATGGGAAAAGTAACCAGCCTCTATCATCTGGAGGGTGGAGAATGGCATAGGCAGTTTACTCAAGGACACATTTTCCTATTGCTGACAACTTTGCTGCATTTTAGCGTTCTCTTTCCCTGCTTTTTCACTGTGGATATTTGCTGTGAAGTACTGATGTGGTAGTGGCAGAAATTGGCTTTCTGCCACATAATTTCCATTTCCCTCGTACAGGAAGAAAGTTGCACATTCACTTTTGGAATGTATGAAAAAAGTGTCATACATCATCTTTGAGCACATCTTCCACTCATGATGTCATATAAATCCTAAGTCGTTATATTGTAGGGTGTTCTAGTCCCTATATACAAAATCTCTAATCCTGCTAAATTGTGCTGTGTTTACAGCATCTTCTCCAGCTCAAAACAGAATGGGAAGTAATGCTGTTCTCTTCAGCTGTTTATGTTGACCTTTGTAAAATGACTTGCAAGAGAGAGATTGGAATTCAGTGCATTATTACAGTCTGCTTTCTTAGATATCTGCTGTCTCTCATAAATAGAAACTTGTCATTACTGCAAAACTTTCTTTTACCATCGCATAGACAAGGGTGCACTTAGCGTAGCCTGGTATATGGGCATTGGCATTCAGTAGTTAGATGGGAAGTCACCAGCTACGTGCCTTTCTGTATACCACATCATACATAAAAATGGAATCAGACTCAAATATAACCACCTCTATATGAATTTTTTAAATAAGATATCCTGGATGTATCTTTAATTTACAGATTCACCTCTTGTCTGTAGAGTCATCAAGGTTATATTAAATCAGCAGCAATTTGCTCTTCTTAATTAAACACAATGATTTTCCTTTAATTTAAAATAAAAGCTCTTTAATTTGGATTATGTTGGCAGTTTTCTGCAGAGTGGGAACACCTGGGATTTATTGAGAGTGAACCAGCTATTCAGGCTAGCTCACTAGAAGGAATTTCAGTAAAGGCCAGGGGGTTAGTTTTAGTGAGTTAAGATTGTAAAATATACTCACTTGCCATTTGAGGGGTCATGATAAATGGAAGTAAAGCAGAAGTATTTGGAGAAATGGGTTAGAAGTATTATGTTTCTCTGCCTGAAGAAGAATTTTTGGAGTGATGAGCAACTCTGTATCTAGTACCTGTTTTCTTTATTGTCCCAAAGCAGAAACTCCTTTGTAATGTGTTTTATTAATACTTGCTTTCAGACCAAAATTTTCTGAGTATGTTACTTATTTTTTCAGAAGTCATGAAATATTCTGACAGAAGTCACTTATAAAAGTGACCTCCAGAGTGAGAAGAAATAGCCAATAGCTGATTTCAAAGGGGAAAAAAAAGACTGTTTCATAATGATGTAGGTGGAATATCCAGATTTTCATGTGTGATAGTTTTGGTTTTGTTGCTACTTTTTTTTTTTTTTGTTAGTGTCTGAAACTCAGGTTCTGTTTTTTCTTGAGAAAGTAATGAATTAGTGAAACTGAGTAATTTGCAAAGCTGAATAGACAGTGGTCTGAGTGACTGTTTTTAATATTTTAGGTGCAGGTAGTAGTGGAAGTGAATGTGGGAGGGCAGAAGACTTGTGCAAAAACATGAAGGATTTTAAGATGTCTGAAATACTGGAGTTATAGGCTATTTTGGCCAGGAGGGCAGGAAGAAGAGGATAAGATTATCCTCTGTTAATATTTAATATTAACAGATTTTTCTGTCTGTATGAAAGCTCACTAGACTGAAATGCAGCTGAAATTCCCAGAGATGTGAGAAAATAAAAAATACAGAGACTGATATTCCTTATGAAGCAGTGAATGCTTTAAACAAAATCACAGCGCACATTTTTTTTTTCCTTTTGATAAATAACCGTTAGGACCAAAGGAAACATGCCTAGTTAAAAAATATATCCTCTGTAGGTTAGCTGTCAAGAGAAGGTATTTTTCACTTTCAATGTTGTGTGGCTCAGACATAGTTTTAAAAGTTGATAAAATTAAAGTCTTTTGTGGTAATCCTAGTTTACCTGTATTTCATGTGTTGGTGATACTAAGTTATTTTTAGCTGCATGATGAAAGTTGGAACTCCCTGTGTGCCATATAGTCAAGCTAATACTTGAAATCTGATATGTGCACTGTGCTTTCTAATGGATCAAGGCTCTGGGTAAGATTTAGGCTACCTAAAGAGCTGTCTGTGCTTACAATGGCTAGTGATTAAAATGCCTTCAAGTCTTTGTTTCACAGCAAAGTTGATCATCGTTGAAAGTTAGGAAAGCAGACAGACTGATCAAAGAGGTTTTACTGTCAGCTATTTCTATTCTCTCTTCTTTCTCTACAGCACATTAAAATCTGATTTTCAGGGACTAAATTCAGTTACTTTGCTGAACTTTGTGATGATGATTTGTGTTTGAGCATTGGGATGTTGTTGAAATTGTAGGGTTTTTAATACTTACCTACCTTAATTCTGAAGTTCCTGTGGTTACAACCATTTGCTAGAAGGAAGCCATTTGAATTAGAAGTTAAAATTTTGTTTTGTAGAGAAATCATGATAGTTAAATCCCCCATTCTTTTATAACACACTTGTCTGTTTTGTTTTCCCCATAGCTTGCACCACGAGAGAAGGCAGCTATGAATTACAATCAAAAGCTGAAGGAGAAGTTCCAGTATCACCCAAAGATCAGACGCATAGCGCAACACCGTCACTTGCCTAAAAGTATATTTTGCCAAATCAAGGAGCAACGTATCATGAGAGAAGCTCGTCGGCGAAAGTATGTCTTCCTCTTCTGGCTTTGTTTTCTCTTGACCTTAATAAAATGCATCACTGCAGTGCTGTAGCAGAAGTGTATGGGAGTGATAGAGCTACAGTATGTGGGAGGAGACAAGTATGAGCTACTTTTAACATCTGAATAAGTGATCATGAACTACTGGATTGGTTAACTTTTGTTTATAAGGAAAATGCAGACAAGTACCAGTATTAGTGAGGACTGGCTGTTCCCTTAAAAGTACACTGAAGAAATGGGAGCAAATACCATGTTGGAAGGAGGCGCAGTGCTCTGTTAAGCGTGACATGATGCAACATTGCAGTGGAAACAGTGGGCTGGTTTGGGTGTGTGGAGGGTTTTTTTGGTTTGGTTTGGGGTTTTGTGGGTTATTGTCTTTTTTTAATGCCAGACTCTTCAGGATGACTGTATTCTGTCATCTGGATCATTTCCATATTGGAATTTCCAGGAGCAGAAGGTGGCATACTTTGCCGTAGCCATTAAATTAACAGTAAAACCAGAAAGTGGTGGACTCTAGTCATTTTGCTCAGCTGAAAGACTCTACAAACTTGAGCAGCAAGTCCTGTTGTCATGAAAACCAAGTGAACTGAGCTCCCAAGAGAAGGCTTGATTTGAAACTTTTCTAAATTAGCCAGTTTTAAAGTTATTTTTCAAAGGGACAGTCCTTCTCAAAGGAGGAAGTGTGTGCCTTTTGATTCTTAAAAGCAGAGCAATTATTCCCTTTTTTTTTTTTTTTTTAATTGTAGCGTAAGGAAGAAGCTAGTATTTGTTAGATCTTTGTGCTGAGTACTGACCTTATTTTTTCTGTTTTTGTTTCTAGGGAACTGAATCGTCGTAAGCACAGCAAACCAGGATCTATGCCATTTGTGTCAGAGAGGAAGAAGCATATTGTGGCAGTGGTGAAGTAATGGTTTTCACATGTACAGAATGTCACAATGAAAGAAAATGTCACTATTGCATGAATCCACTGTACAAAATTTGATGGACATTGGTAAGACAGTGTATGGCTCCAGAAGTGTGGCTTTTCTTCCAAGTACACACATGCTTTGATTTTTCAAGTCATCATCTGCTTTGGGTAGTCTTAAGAATTGGTCCTGTAATCTTTTATTGCCATTTGCCTGTCTGATGTTACTGGCCCAATGCTGTGTATTGCAGTGGAGTTTCACCTTTTTGATATAAGCAGATAACTTGGTTGTTGGTAGAGGGTATCTGTAGTTCCAATCCTATTCCTTGGTTCCATTACTACAAAAGAAGGATGAAATACATTCAGATTTGTCAGGGGAAAAAAAACCTTTGTTCCATACAGATCTATAAAACTGTTTTCTGGTGGCTTTTTTAAACATATCTAATAAAGTAAGCAAGTGTCCTTAAGGCAATGGACTAGATCTTGATTATTCCAACCGACAAATATACTACATTACATTTATTACAGAACAATATATTATTTCTATTTTATTGAAAAGGAATTCAACAAGATTTTTGGATATTAAAAAAATAAAAGCTTCATATTTCACAAGGTACCTGTAGCCCAAAGATCTTTTACTGTTCGTCTGGGAAATGTTCTGCTTCTCTTCCAATGAGATAGACTTAGCTTTTTACTGAAGATACAAAGGTGATCAGAAGACTACTGGAATTCAACTAGGCCTTCTAGGCTGAAGGCTTATCTTGCAAAAATATGATGTATGTAATAATCTTAAGTGTTGCTTAACATCTTCTGTACCAAAGGATTTTTTTAAGCCTTTGCACTACTATTCAGTCTGTAACTACACTCCTCCCCCCCGCCCCAAGATTATGCACAAAAATAGTTTATGAACTCAATTAGAAGTTTATTATCTTTTTTTTTTTTTTAATCTGGAAATTGAACACTTTGAGCACTTGCCTTTCATATAGCATCCTGTTTAGTGTATCTACTGTCGCTAACATGCATATGCATTTCCAGTTCTTAGTCTTTTGCTTGGCTCTTCCAGTGCTGTTTGGGCAAGATTCCTGGATCATCATGGCAAAATTATGTCTGTTCGGTGATAAGAGGCCATAATGTATCTTTTACTCTCTGGATCACTTACCTTATGGGATGATGCAGGAAGAGAAGCAGATCGGAAGAGCTATAAGTAGGATGATAAGGAGTGGAACAGATCAGGGAATAGACTGATGCTGGCTGTGTGCCTGTTGTACTAATACAGTGCAGTCTGTGCCAAATACAGTTTATTTCCTTCCTGAAACACTGAGAAAATTGAGGGAGAATGTGTGGTCCAAAGTATGGCTTGTGACACAGCTGTAGTCAAGTCTTGCACAATTTACAAAACCAGACTAATCTGGAATGTGATTAAAAATTTTCAGCCTTGTCAGTTTAGCTTGAGTTGATGTAGTTGGTTGTTGATTTGTTGAGCCATGATAACCTCTGGTGTGAACAAGCCCTGCTGCGTGGAATTTATTAGCTTTGGTGCAGAACTCTGAATGTAACTAGAGAGCTTTCAGTTCTGAAGTTAGGTTGGTTAGTGTGATATTTGTGTGGAGCTCTACTGCATGAGCCATGTCCAAAAGATCTCTTTATGTTCAAAGACCTCTGTGCACTGTTACTTTCAGACAGGTCTTAGAGTGGAGCAAATCAAAGGACCGGGGCTGGCTAAAAATGTTGCTAGAGAGATTGTAACAGCTTGCTGAAAAAGAATTTTAAAATTAGGAGGGTACCCAGAGACTCTGTATTTGTATATTAACCCCTGTTCCAAATTCATTGGGTGTAGTCTTGTATAGAACTTAGTCTTGTCATCAAGTGGGGCACTGTCTTAGCATTCCAGGAAAAAGTCTTGTTTTCCAAAATCAAGTCGACTTCTAGAAACATGTTAGTTGTAAAACCAGTGTAGGTGTGGGCTGGGGCTTTCTGGTTAGAAGTCAGTCGTTTGGAATTTTCAGCTGGTGTTTGCAGTCTGTCTATTCAGGATCCCTGGCCATGGATTTGTATGCTGTTGGACTAGCTGCTGTTGATTTGTCCCTTTTGGAAACCCTTATGGTTGGTCTCCAACCCTTTTTGTGGGTAATGTAAATATAGTAGTTGCCAAGTGTTGGTAACTCTGCTTGCAAAGAGTGCTCATACAAGTCTGTCCATGCCATCACGAAATGGTTTAGAAATTACACTAAAGGAGGTGGAGCTCTTAATTTTTTTTATTTGGTGTTTTGCTTTTTTTATTTTTTTCCCTCAATGATTTGAGAGGTGTAATTAGACCACATCTTAATCACCTTAAAATCATGATATGCAAAAAGAATATGGATGTGTGCCATCTCCATGTATGTGTATCAGAGTGTATGTAAAATGAAACCCTTAGCATCACTGCTAAGATACTGAAAATATAAGGAAACTGTTAATGATTGCCTTCAAAATTTTGGTGTGGTCGACTGAGGAAGGAAAGGAAGAAGGGAGATGAAGGACTACTTCCTAAAGAAATGCAGTGCCTATATACCTTCTTACTAAAAAAAGATAATTTCTGTATATATTCTTACTCTAGAAAGAAATTTAAAGACTGTTTTGAAAGAGTAATAACTTCTTTAACACAGAAATATTTAAATTGGTATTCATAGCCTTGGTGAATGTTAGCTGTTTCATGGTAAAGCATCTACAGAGTCATCAGTGTTATATTCCTGTTTTTTCACAGCCAGGCTATGTAATGATACAGGTATTTGAATGAAATTATTTATTTTACTCTGTATTTTCTAGATATCTAAAACAAACTCAACTCCACTCAGGTTTCTGAGGTGTATATGAAAATAGAAATTTTTAGGCCAACTAAAAAAATTCCACAGGAGTGTTTTTGCTGTTGTCCGTGTGGGTTTTCTTCACTTTGTTTGTGGTAGCAGAATCCCTTGGCATTTCCCCTCGCAGTCCAAAGGATCGAAGGCTGCTGGGATTCTGTATCCGCAAGCCCATAGCAATTCAAAACAATGCCCATGTGCACAGCTACACACAGGGTGCGCTACACACAACGCAAGCAATAATAAACGTGGGGGTGAGCGGGGCCTTCACCTGCACTTGCGTTAACACAGGCTGTGCTGGGGTGTCACAGCTCCACCCTCTTCCTTCTCTGCTGGGCCAGGAGTGCAGCTCAGCTGGGCTGTGCCCACACCTGCAGCGTGGGTCTCGTAGCTGCTGCCAGACAGCCCCTGCAGGGACTGGCAAGCAGTCTCTCTCTCCCAGTTGCTGGCCCCTAGACCTCCAAGTCCCTCAGACATGTGGTCCTGCTCAAGTGGCTCATGCTTATTCCTATTGTCCCACTCGTGGACTCAACCCACTTGAAGTTTGCCAGCATTGACACGTACATGCACACAAGACCAGTTAGAAACAGGGTGTGGTAAGAGTTTCAGATGCACTGCAGTGATCAAGTGTGAGGCTCGTGCACTGAAGCATAATTGGTAAGCTGTCTACATGGCACTGGCCCCCTTTATCCTCTTTGCCCTTGGTTTTTCCATGCTTTTTTCTCTCTAGTCTACCTTAGTTCTTCCCTTAGACATCCTATAGTAAGTTTTGTACATTGCTGCAATTCCCTTAAAATCCCTTAATAAAGTTTATGTAGTCCCCACATTCTCAACCCCGCTGTATCCTGTAAAGAAGTGTAGCACCCCTTTAAGTAACATGTTGGTTTGTACATGTTTCTAGTGTTTCCTACACTTGTTTTAGTGGGTTTTGCACCAGGCACAATGATCGGAATCATTCTCCTTTGATGGTTTTAGGACTAGTGAGTTGGTGTGCTCGTTTTTCATTAACTGTCCTGATCCTTGGTGTGGCTTTATGGTTAATTTGCTTAGCACTTAGATAACTGAACACTCTCTGTTATATGAAAATATCTCTGCAGTGCCTTCTGATCCTAGTTATTGGACTAAGAATGTGGCAGTTGAAGTAGAATTCATCTTGCTTCACCTTTGATGTGTACAGTAAAGGCATGGTGAGCAGCTTTGTGCACCTGATCTCACTCTATACTTGGAGGAAATAAATAGTAATTTTAGGGGACATTTCTCCCATACTTCAGACATGTATATTATGATTGAAAACTTTGTTTTATTTTATAAATAACATTGTGATACAAAAGATGGCTAGTTAACTTACGGATATCTGTCTAGGTTTGGACAGAATTGCACACAGGTGATTAGGCTTAAGGTGAGTAAAACCATTGACAAGTGAACACCAGTCTTTGCTGTTTGGCATTGCAAAAGTCTAAAACCGTTTGAAGGGAGATGAATGAGATTCTGTAACTGAGGACAAAGAAATTTCTGCGGATAATAGCTTGTGGGAAATGAGCTCAATGTTATACTAGAGAAAGATGGAAAAGCATTTGAAGAAGAGGAACTTTTAATTAGAAAGAAAAGACTGTGATGTGCTCACCTAGCATTTCTGGGGCTTTAGAAGGTATGTGAAGAATTCTATAGGACAGAATCAAAGATTGTAGTTCAAATACTACCAACTAAAAAATGCTGAAAGTGTCAATCCTTACTATATTAAATTAAAAAAACCCCCTCTTTCTGAGTTGAAGATCATGTTCTTTATAGCAGTTTGAAACAAACTTAAGGACTTACTTTCAAAGGTGATGAGAAATTACTGTTACAATGACTTGAAGCTGAGCTGATGTTTTACGGTGCTTTGAAAGTTTGAAGCTTTTCCTATATTAATAAATGTTAGTATACTTAGTGATTTCATTTTGTCCAAGTCTGGAGCAGTTTCAGCAGATGCAAACGATGTGTTCTCAGTGGGTAGATGTCTATGATCAGGAGTTTATAGCATGTTGCATCATGTTTTCTACTTTTAGGGCTTGTGTGGGCAAAACCAAAGATCTTTCAGCAGACAAAAGAGCATTGCTGATTATTAAGAAGATAAATGGATGGAGATGGTATTTTGACTGTCATTGTAAAAATGTGATTAAAAACCACAATATGATAGAAAACCACAGATTTAATATAGATTTAGTAGACATGCTGCACTCACGTATTTCTTACAAGGCTGACATCCAAGCCTCTAACTTGTGTTCAGGCAGAGTGGAATTATTTGAAGACGTGACTTTTTTCTAAGAGCCTTATTGTAGAATAAGACAAATTTTTTTTCAGCAACCTGAAGAATACCATTAATTTGCAAAACAGCATATAAAAGCTATCGTGGCATAAGGTACAGGTGAATGGTGGGAGGTAGCAAGGGAAGGGGTCTGTTACCTCTACTAAGAGAGACCATTGCATCAAACACTTGTGCAAGACAAGTTCACTAGTTCATGATAGACCCAAACCTTATCAACAGCTGCAGAGTCTTGGTCTGAATGTTCTGCTTTTACTATCTGGGGCAAACATCCCTGGGTAGCTGGGCAGCAGCATTCGGTCATTATTCATTTCCCTTTCACTGTCCTGCACAAACAGCTGTTTGCTGTTTTTCTGAAGTTTGAGATCTAGGGTAGAGATTGAATAGTGCTTGAGGATGAAATCACTTCTTTGTATTTGTAAAATTGTTTTGATCAGAGGCTTACATATTTTCCAGCTTTACAGTTTTCTTTCTCTTCTGTTTTTGTTGTTTTCACACTCCTGCTTCCCTAAATAGTGCCTCAGAAATTCTTGATTTCTCTATGGTCATCACTGACTTGGCTGTATCACTTAGCTTCTGCTAACCAGAAAACAAATGCTTCTGTCTTGAGGTTATTTCTACCATATAATATTATCTGGTGGAACATTACCCTGAATCCCTCCAGAAATGAGGATCGTTAAGCTTTGGAAGACCTATGGTTGCTTTAATCATTTGCAGATGCCTATGAACCTACACTATGGCATGCATAGTGTTTGGGATGTATTAGGAGAAGGAAACCTGGTCTCAAAAATGCTTGGAGGGTAAGAAGAGAGGAGATCCAAAGGGGAAGGGTTATTACCAGAATGTAACAAGGTTTTGCAAACTGGCCAAAGGGGTGGGGTTTGGCATGTCAGGAGTCGGGGGAGCTACAAGACACAGATGGAAGAGGAAGGAGCATGTCAGCAGTTTTTCTCACTTAGTTTGAGTAAAGACGAGAGGGAAAAATCAATCTCTTATGCTGTATGAATGTAAGACAAAATATCTAAAATGCCTACCTTTTTTTTTTTCCCCACAAATGGGATAATCCAGCGTTTGAGTCTGAAGGCAAAAGATTCATTGGCTCAGCTGGATATCTAAAGGTATCATATTTATAGACCAGCTATTTCAGGAATGGAGCCTGTGTTCTTTTGCATCACTTAAGGCAAAATATAACCTTGGCAAACAAAACCACTGGCGATATTTGCAGTTGCGTCATTCTCAAGTGAGTATTTAACATCAGAAAACGTTAGGACATTCATGATAAGCCACTGTTTTTGCATAATCCTGTCAGTTATGGCTGTCCAGTGGCTGCGGTACAATATCTTGAACAGAAAATGTTCACTATCACAAGTTAAAGCAGCATGGAGAAGGTAACTGGATTATGATATTGATGTCAAACTGTGGAATAAAGTTAATACAGTAACTGGGTGTATAAATGTGATTTGAAACTAAGGTTTAATCAGAAGAGGTTTTTTTCCCTCGGGAATAAAAAGAATAAAACCAGGAATCTGGCTCATTGACAGTTCTTTAAATTATGGACAATGCGTAGTAATTTGCTTCAAAAGACAAATACCTTTATGGGGTTTGTGCCTTATTCTGTGGAGAATCTTTTATGTGAACTGCCCTAGACAGAGATTTTGACTGAGCTCTGTACACTGCAGAAATGTCATAGTGAATTTTGGACTGAGACAAAATTAAGTCACACTAAGGGATGCATTTATGGTGGCAGACATGGAAAAAATGTGGCAGAACAGATGAGTATTAAACACTCAATCTATTAAAAGAAGTTTTGTTAAAATGTTTAGTAGCCAAAGACTTTATTCACAAGATGGGAAGAGCTGAAATAGTGTGCAGTGGGATGCTAAGCTAACCAGTTAAGTCTTTCAGCAAGAGATAACTGAACGAAGAAACTGCAGACCAGCCAGGTTCTCATTTTCTCTGTCTTAATTCAACACACTTTTCGTATCAGAAGCATGAGTTCAGCTGTCTTTAAGCTGCACTATCAGAAGCCAATGCCTTCACAGTTTTCTAGATCTTCTTGCAAAACTGCTCCTGCCATGAGTACTCTGCTGTCAATGTCCCTCTGGTTTGCTTGGCTTTGGGGATGCCAAGGTTCACGTGTTTGGGGCCATGCTGCGAAAGAATGCCAAGTACAAGAACAGGGCCTGCTTTATTCTGTGCAGCTACGTCTCTCTGAGTGGCCAAGGGGAATACCAATGCTGAAAGCAGTTTTCCATCCATTGCTTCCTGACCCACAGGTATATGTTTAATGCATAGCTACAAAAGACTCCTAGTTTGTCATGGAGGGCGTTAGATTTCCCTGCTGGAGGCCAGCCATG